TGATGTTGGATAGTGCCGGACACATAGACGCTTTGAGTGAGGAAAGACACAGAATGAAACCTCACAGGTTGATTTGAATTGAAGATTGCCGGACACATACACATGTTGAGTGAAGATAGCTACATACTGAAACCTCAGATGGATTGATTTTTGAGTTTGCCAGACACGTGGACGCTTTGAGTGGGGATAGCTACATACTGAAACCTAACGAGTTGAGTGATGTTGGATAGTGCCGGACACATAGACGCTTTGAGTGAGGAAAGACACATACTGAAACCTCACAGGTGATTTGCATTGGAGTTTGCCAGAAACATAGACGCGCTGCGTGGGGATAGCTACACACTGAAACCTCACGAGTTGAGTGATGTTGGAAAGTGCCGGACACATAGACACTTTGAGTGGGGAAAGACACATACTGAAACCTCACAGGTGATTTGCATTGGAGTTTGCCAGAAACATAGACGCGCTGCGTGGGGATAGCTACACACTGAAACCTCACGAGTTGAGTGATGTTGGATAGTGCCGGACACATAAACGCTTTGAGTGAGGAAAGACACATACCGGAACCTCACAGGTGATTTGTATTGGAGATTGCCGGACACCCAGACGCGTTGAGTAAAGATACCTGCATACTGACACCTGCTAACGGGTTGAGTGACGTTTGCGACTGCCGGACACATAGACGTGTTGAGTGAGGATAGCTACATACTGAAACCTCACATATGGATTGGTTCATGAGTTTGCCAGACACATAGACGCGCTGCGTGGGGATAGCTACATACTGAAACCTCACGAGTTGAGTGATGTTGGATAGTGCCGGACACATAGACGTGTTGAGTGAGGATAGCTACATACTGAAACCTCACGAGTTGAGTGATGTTGGATAGTGCCGGACACATAGACGTGTTGAGTGAGGATAGCTACATACTGAAACCTCACGAGTTGAGTGATGTTGGATAGTGCCGGACACATAGACGTGTTGAGTGAGGATAGCTACATACTGAAACCTCACAGGTTGATTTGTATTGGAGATTGCCGGACACATAGACGCGTTGAGTAAGGATAGTTGTATACTGAAAACCACAGTAGCTATAGTAATGGGACAATTCGAGGATGCAGTACACATAGAACCGACCCCCAACCAGTCCCCAACCCCCCCCTGAAAAATAGAGGCCATGCGCCCCCCCCCCCTCTACCTCCCCCAGAGGATGAAAAGGGTAAAGTCCAAAGTGAGCATAAGCTTACCTAAGGGTAATGCCTGTTGGTACGGCGTTAGAAAAAAATACTAAAGTCCCCCAATGGGCGGTTGAGGACTTAGAGCTAAGGGCATTTGTTACGATGTCTTTTTTTAGGCTTTTTTTAGGCTGTCTTTTTT